TTTCCAAAAGAACAGGATTTTCTTATCCTTGTTTCTAAACACAACTCCCCCTCTTAAAAATACACAGTATGCTGAAGTACAGAATAATTTCTTCAGTTCTTCTGTTGAAGTTTTCATTGAACTGAATTAGAATCTGGAATATGAATAGGGAAATCCAGAAGGCCAGACCTAAGCCAAAGTTTCCCAGTTATTAGACATGAACAGCTTATTTATTAGCCCAGTGATAGCAGGCAGCTGTGTCTAAGGAGGTTTATAAAGATGTGTGTTGCTGCAGTATAATCTAGACTTTTGGCAAAACATGTTCCAGAAGGCAAGTGTCATACATGCTATCTTCACAGGTTAATAATCTTCTTAGAGGTCCAAATCAGGAGAAGAAGGAGAGAGAGCACGAGCAAGGAACTCAGGATTGCGAGGGGTGCACCCACACACTGAGACAATGGGGATGTTCTATCGGGAACTCACCAAGGCCAGCTGACCTGGGTCTGAAAAAGCCTGGGATAAAACCGGTCTTGCTGAACATAGCGGACAACGAGGACTACTGAGAACTCAAGAACAATGGCAATGGGTTTTTGATCCTACTGCACATATTGGCTTTGTGGGAGCCTAGGCAGTTTGGATGGTCACCTTACCAGACCTGGATGGAGGTGGGTGGTCCTTGGACTTCCCACAGGGCAGGGAACCCTGATTGCTCTTTGGGCTGACGAGGGAGGGGGACTTGATTGGCGGAAGGGGAGGGAAATGGGAGGCGGCGGTGGGGAAGAGACAGAAATCTTTAATAAATAAATAAAAAAAATCTTCTTAGATTGCAGAAGATCTGTTGCACCTAGTACATGCCTGATTCCCAAAATGAGTGAAACACAGTCTCCTCCTTTATCGACACATATCTGAGTGGTGGCTGGAGGGCACCCAAAGAGAAGAGCTTGGTTTAATAACTCTGGTTAGTACAGACGTGGAGGGGAAGCAGAGCATATGTAAGAAAGAGGCATGGTTATGAAAGTCAAAGATTCTTAAGCATTTGCTCCAAAGTATTCACTGAAGTGGATTGCACACCCCTGATTTTCACCAAACCTGGCTGCACACAAAGTTCTTGTCTTTGTGCCAGGCTAGTCACATGACAGCAAATATCAATGGAGCCTCGTCGTGGATCAGGAGTTGTACCAAGCCTTTCATATATATTTAACCTCATTCAGTCACGATACATTTTAACATATGAGGGAGTGGGCATGAGGTGAAGATAGCCTGTGAAGGTCTCAAAGACAGAAGCTGGCTTTGAACCTAGCTCATAACTCTAATATGTAGCACTTAGCTTACATTCTATGCATGTGTGTGTGTCGGGGAGGGGGCTGTTCATTCAGCTTTTCTCCATTAACATTTTCTCTTTACAGATTAAAAACAAAAGAAGCTCTGAGAAGCTGAATGTCCAAAGACCACTGATTCTCTGAATAACATTGCTGGGTCCCATGCAAGAACATTAGGTTCCAAGGCTTGGCTCTTTCAGATAGTCTCTGGAACCAGACTCAGAAGTAGGTGAGTAGAAAGATGACCTCATTAATCTGTTTTTCTATGCCCAATTGTAGCTTGCTCTGCTATAAAAGGAGATACCCAGGCGATGATCAAACTCCCAAGGCTGCCAGTGAATCAGGCACAAGGTGTGGGAGGCATTTGATTACACACTCTGTCCAACATTCTGAACACTCACCTGCCTCAGTCAGAGGAGGAGGAAGTGTTTGGCATATCATTTCTACTTTCGTGAAAAATGAAATTTCCCAATTATTCAGTTGCATAACCACCTCTGTCATTCTGGAGATTATAATTACACATTCAACACCCCCCAACTCCCAAACACTGCTGTGCACCAGGCATCAATGGGCATTTTTCAGTCTTTATTAAAAATAGAGGGCATCTGAGTCACAAAGGGAAACAGGAAGCAAGTCCAGGAGTGGGCAAGCTGAAAGCAGGATGCACAGGACTCCACTGGATGCTATAGATAGACATCAAATGATGCAATCCCGCGGAAAGCTGTCTCTATAATGGGAGGCAGGGCACATTGCAGAGACTGACTTGAGCTAGAAACTATGGAGCATTTGTGTTCCCATTTCATTCTGGCTCTTTTTCTTAGCTCTGTAATCTCAGAGGACTTGAATCTCTGCTCCTTTCTCAGAATCAGATGGACAGCAGTAAATTCCCTGTCTGTGCCAAAGGTTTGTTTCCAAGCAGCCAATAACATTAAGCATTATATGTGTAAACCACTAAGACAAACATGTTGTGATTACATCCCATATAAAGCTATAATAACTCTCTGAAACAGGACCTGTTACTGTCTTATCTATTTTTAAATTAAATTACCAAAAGCCAGATATCTTTAATGGTGGAGTTGGGGTTTGAATACCAAATACCTACAGCTTCTATGGTGATGGGGCAGTTATGAGATTTCAGAGATCTTTAAAAACTAGAAATAAAATTGAAAAATATCAAATGTCACACATTAGCAGGCCAATAGGAAGCACTTCTGTGCTCTTACCTTACATACCATCTTAACATGATGAAGTTTTCTGCTCTTGCAGGACAAATACAGACTAGGATATATTCAACTAGTATGTCAGAAGGCTACCATGTGAGGGAGGAGGCCCAGAGAGGGACCAGGGCATTTCATTATGGTGAAGGAAGGGAAAGAAACATACTTATCATTATGAAAAGGGGACTCCCACTCTGCGTGTGTTCTCTCATCTGTGTGGGGGTTTCTCCCAAATGAGATCAAGACCTCAAGATAGAGTGCACATATAGTCTTCCTGTAGGAGAGCCTCAGTTGGTTCTGTCTTGGAGAGTCCTCAAAAAGGAATGCGTGATGAATTGTTATAACTTGTATAACTAAGAAGTTCCCGATTAAAGGAAGCCATGTAGATCTAGGACAGGGCAGGACTCTGTGCTCAGAGACAGCCAGAGGGACCTAAGTGTAGGAATTCTGGAAATGGCTGGACTTTCACATTTGCCTTACTGCTTCATCATAGGTTCAGCAAAGACAAAAAACATAAACAAAAACAAAACAAACAACAAAAAAGCACATCAAAACCACATTGAGTGCTCCTGATCAGAATCAGTACAGAAAGAAGGTCTTTGTTCTGCTCCAGGCTGGTGAAGGAGGAAGATGAGCTTTGGTGAGAGACTGGACTGGAATTCTAGTTCTACCATCCAGCTCTGTTGTTGGAGTGGCTTCATCTGTAAAATGGGGAAGACAAAACTCCCATTCCAGGTTGTTGGTTGACAGGATTAAGTAAAATGAGGAACTCAAGAGTTAATTCCCCATTTCCTTTGCTTACCAAGACGTTACACTAACCATCCTTTTCTTGACTACATTTTACACCTCACTCAACTTGTTAAAAATAGCTCTATGTACGTATTTCTGAATTCTGGGACTTTTAAATTGTTTCATCCCTGGTTTCCTGGGGTTTGTTGGCCCCCTGTTTCCATGGTGATTTCCCGAGGCTATGCCTCTGCTATATGCTCTGGCTGACACTTTTTCTTGATTTGCCCTTTCTGTTCTTGTCTGTTTGAAATGAACATAGACAAAAGAAAGATGGACCAGGATCTAGAGCTTATCAGCAAGGCTGGTAGAGTCTGGTTTCTACAGGGGACCAAAGACTCTTACCAGGAGATTAGTGTTTCACGGGTTTCAGTATGCCTAGAGAAGTCCTATATGTTTTTAATTGTTTTTTATTATTTCTTTTCTCTTTTTTGAGATTATAATACATAAATTTCTTTTCTTTCTTTCCTTGTAGTAGACATGATAAAGTGGATGGGGGGAAAAGTCCATGAGACCTCAACCTTATAGAAGAAGTACAGACAACCAAGGAGTGCTGGGAGCCAGAGAAACAGTCTTCCCTGGCAAGAGATCTTACACACCAGGAAAGGTCTATAAGGTACTTGCTATGTCTACCATAACACTCCTAGGCAGAACAACTTCCTCTCATGGAGAACCAGGGTAGGTATGTTCTACATGTAACGCTTCTGCATGATTTACAACCCTAGATAAGAATGTTCTACATACGACACCTTTGTATGGCTTATGGTCTACCATCTTCCAAAAGATGCAGGGATGGAGTTGTATATTCAAGATCCTAATAAATAATGGGTGATCACAGTGAGTGGCATTACATAGCAGGCATGCTGTTTAATCACAACCAACCACCAATTAAGCTTTTCCTGTTCTGCTGTGGTTTGAATGTGAATTTGTCCATCATAGGTCCTTGAATTTGAACATTGAGTCCTTAGATGGTGATGGCACTTGGGAGGTTGCAGGAGTCTTATTGGATTAAGTAGGCCACTGGGGACAGACTTTGAATTCTGGGAACACAAGGTGACCAATTATCATGTCTTTCTTCCTGTGACACATTGAGTCCCTTCTTAACCTGTGAGCGAGGATAAATCTTTCCTTCCTTAATTTGCTTTCTTTTGGGTATTTGGTTACAACTCTGAGAAAAGTGGCTAATATTTATTCATTTGCCTATTTGCATACATGGCAGGACAAAAAAGCAGTTTAAAACAATATCAATTGCTTCCTCAAGGCAATCTATTTCTATACTAATATTTTATTCTAGCATGGAGGAGACTGAGCCTCAGAGACATAAGAACTTGTCCCTAGAACTATGAGTCAGATGCTCCTCAAGCCCGTGTGTTTCCCTGCAGCGGCACACACCTTCTCTAGTGAGACTCTTATCCAGGCCATGGGATTTGGAAAGACACCAGTTTGTCTCAGCCAGAAATTAAATGCTTTTTTTTTTTTAAAGGATAATGATGGTTTTGAGAATATAGGGGCTCAGGGGCCATTAAAAACACAGTCTGTCAATTATCTCCCAAAGCTTAGCTTTTCATTAGGAAATCAATTGATTAAGACTCGTAAGAGTCATTTGATACAATGGCACAGAAAAGTCTACAAGGGTGGTTTTTGTGGCAAAAGGAAATGCCAACTAACCATGGGTGACTAGACAAAAACATGGCATTACCTGCTGTCCATGGTAGAACACAGCAAGGAGGAACATGGCCATCAGCAGCAGTGATGCCTCCTTGGTCCCCAGGAAATCTCTGTGAGGAAAACAAAAGCAGAATGGCATGGTGACTAACAACTGTGGCGGGGATTTTAAGGTTAATCATGAAGAAACAGGCTTAGAATGACATGTGAGGAGAAGAAAGGAGTATTTTCCAAATATCTGACATGTGATATAGAGTACTATAAGGGTTTGCATGTCATCTTATTCAGAGGACAAGAGACCGTCAAGCCTATGAGGTCCTAGAGGGTAGAGCTGATAAAAGAGAATCTAGAGTTTAGCTTCTAGATAATATGATCACATCCATAGCAACAATGTCTCTACTTGTGTAAAAATTTTCTCCATTTCAAAGAGATTGAAAACTGTGATCAAAAATATCTTGTGAGGTAAGTATTCCTTTTTGAAAGGTATTGACCTACTTAAGAAGCCAGTATTCAACGCTTGCTATGTGATGGTCTTTATCTTAAGTGTCTTCATGCTTAGAGTATTATCGTAAGTGTATGAGTTGGACAATTTTAATTCCTCTATCAGTTATTTTAATCCTCATGTCAGTTCTATGAGTGGGGTCAGCTGACCCTTATTTTTTTTATATCTTTTAGTAAAGACTGTTTTTTTTTTCCTGCCAAGATGCTAACAGCAGAGTTTATTGTTGGTTCTGTTATAGTCCCAGAGAAGCACATCACGATTGAGCATCTACTGTATCCCAACCTATGCTGGGATCAAGAAATAAAGAGGATACATTGTTCATGCTTTCAAAATAATTCACAAGAAGCAAGAATCAAATATATAGGTAACTTTTTAATTAGGGTGAGCGTATCCTTGTTGCTCTGATATTGTTTGAAAAGAGAAAGTAACTAACTGAGACAGAATGTTCAAAAAATATTTAAGAAGGCTAGGATGTAGCTCTAAGCCATATATCACTTAGCTTTGTATTTACACATCTCTAACCTCAAAATAATAATCAAATACCATGTCGTGTTTGAGGTCACATGAAGACTCAGTAAGGGAAGCTGCTTGAATTTGTCAGGACCATCCAACAAGAGTGCTTAGGTGAAGAGGGATGAACTATAACTCATGCATTAGAGTAGAGATCCATCCATCTGTCCATCATCCATCATCCATCTATCCATGTACCCAATCATTCATCTATCCATGCACCCCTTCATCTACCCACCCATTCTATACTATTGTGCTTATCTTGAGGAGGGAGGCATATTTATGTATTTCTCTTTCATTTCTGTCACTTACTTCTCTAGTTTTTGATGTTTATGGGCTGCTGAGAAAAAATGATTAAAGACATGAACTTTAAAGGTGATCCAGATTCCTATTGCAGCTCTGTTTTTGACCAGTTGTTTGACTTTGAGCCAGCCACTTCATATCTCTGAGCCTCCGTTCATTCATATATGAAGAACGACTCCACAGTGTTTTACCTCCTTAACGGTGAGGATGAAATGAACAATGGTGTTGAGGCATTTGGCATGGCTCCTGGCTCATAGCTTCCTCTCACTGCTCCGTGAAGCCTCTGACACACACTCTTGTCCGTGTCTGTGTTGCTTTAAAGAATCATTTGCTCGCGTTACTCGTGTGAATGAGAGCTGTCTATGTTTAGAACCTCCCCTGGAATCTGTCGCTTTGTCCCAGAGCACTGCCTGGCACTTAAGACATCCTCTTCTCTGTGAGCCACGAAGCTTATTTTCAGCCTAGCAACTTATCATTTGAAGCACATTTTCAGGAGGCAACATGAATACTTCTTGAATAATTTTGAAAACAGTGATTGGCCAAAAATAGAGACACGACTATACCAGACTCGGAAGAAAAAAAAGAAAGAAAATTATGAACAATTTTTGAGGGTTTAGCTGTATTTCATATAAAAAAATTTTGTTTAGGGACCAAAGTATATGAATAGTAACCCAATCATGTTGAGAAACAGCAAAAAGAATTTTCATTTGAATTCACAAGTTTGTCTTGTACCTCCCATGATTTTTGGAAAAGCATACAGAGAGTCGAGTGACTGAAATATATCCCATATTATTGAGCTTTGCTTGATACTGGGTTTCACAGACTTAATACCAAGGAAATTTTGAGATATTGATTTGTATTAATAAAATGGCTAAAGTAATACTACCATCTCCTAGGAAAAGGGACATTGTTAATTGAAAACACACATAGAGTATTGAAGTCCTCAGGGCCATTATAATCTTTAGAGATCATTTAATCTGATGTATCATAAAATTTAATATTTAACGGGAGGATGACTCACTAATGAAGCATTCATGCTAATTGTAGTAAATCTGGAAACTAAAAAAGACAGCTAACCATCCAGAGGAAACTATTATTATTTTGGAATCCATTAAATGACATTTCTATTTCCTCTTTGCAAAAATGTACCTATAAATTTAAGGCTATATGGCTCATATTTTTTCCTAAGTTACTTTTGTACTTAATGTAGAGAATGATAATAGGTTTTGTAATTAGATATATTACAATTCACTCGGCAAATCCATTTTATTCTGTATTTTGTGTATCCTGTGTAATGTAAACCCCTTGCAAAACTTCTATTTTATAAGAGACTGAGGCCCAGAGGGAAGAGGTCAGTGGCTCAAGGTCACATATTGATTTGTGTTACCACAAGGATAAGAACCCAGATTTTGGGTGTGATGTTCTAAGTTTTCAATATTGACTATTCACCTCCAAATTTTTATGTATTAGTTTGCCTTTTATTCCCCAAAATTCTTAATAAACCACCCCATTTAAATTTGTTTTTATTCTGTATTATAAATAGCGTGTAATTTTGAAAAGTTGTATTATATCTGAAACAGCTACTTTATATATATTTCTTGCTCTATCTCTTTCATGTCAACAATTTGTGATGATGTTAACTTACTACAGAGATACCTGAACATCCATGTTCATTGATGCCCTACTCACAACAGCTAAACACTCAGAAATTGTTCATAATTTTCTTTCATATTTTCTCCTGAGTCTAGTCCAGTCGTGTCTCTATTTTTGGTCAATTACTGTTTTCAGAGTTATTCAAGAACTCTTTGTGTTGTCTCCTGAAACATTTTCCAATAGAAAATGGAATCAACCTAGATATTCATCAACTGATAAATGGGTAGTAAAAATGTGGTACATATACATAATGGAATTTTGTTCAGCACTAAAAAATATGAAATTTTGCAGGAAAATTGATAGAATTTGTAAATATACTGAGGGAGGTAACCCAGCGTCAGAAAGACAAATACTTCAATGTTATTTCTCATATGAGAATCTTCACTTTCAAGTTTTAGATTTCCATGTTCAATTTGAAGCGCCTGTTGAGCCCAGGAAGCTAGCAGCAGACAGTGTTGTGGAAGGCCATTCCTGGAGGAAAGTTGTAGAACTCCTAGGATATGAAAGTGCAGTGGAAGAATATGGGTAGTGGAAAGGTTTAATAGGTTGGTGTGGAAAGTCCTTTTGTATATATGTTGCTTTTATCGGTTAATGAATAAAGAAACTGCCTTGACCTGTTGATAGGGCAAGGTAGAACTATGTGTGGAAAACTAAACTGAATGCTGGGAGAAAGAAGGTAGAGTCAAGAGACAAGCCATGGTGCTACCGCTAGCTGGAACCTTGCCTATAGGTCACGAGCCTCATGGTAAAATATAAAATAACATAAATGGGTTAATTTAAGAGATAAGAGTGAGCTAGAAATATGCATAAGCTAATAGGCCAAGCAGTGTTGTAATTAATATAGCTTTTGTGTGGTTATTTCGGGGCTGAGCAGCTGGGAACAAACAAGCAGCCTCCTACAATAATACATGATGTGGGTGCGTGGATGGCAGATATGAGGGATTTCAGAGGGTTAAACAAAATTAAGGCTGTCTAAAAAAAGCCATAAGGTATCCCACTATTTTGTAAGTTAATTAAAATATATAACTAAAATAATTTGAAGGGAGGTACTCTATATGGGGAGATAATGTAACTCTCAGAAGCCACAGGTTATTAAGCAAAAGTCCTAGTGACAGAGTTGGGGTACCACCATATAAGTTGTTGGTCAGGGAAGACCCCAAAGTAATAGAGGCTGTTGCCATTCTGTAGTTTCCCAGCAGATTCGGATGACCAGACTCTATTGATGAAGACTTTGGTTGCAGGGTGTAAACCTGGAACTGAGCTAGAAGCTTTACTTCTGCTGGGTAGTTTTCAAAGTGCCAGAGATGTTATGCAGGCAGCCCGAGGAGAAAAGTCATTAACAGCGTACACAGCCATGAGTCACACGAACTTCAGTACCAACCATCAGACAAGATGTGCCCAGTGGGTGCCATAGTGTTATGACTGTTATGGGGGTAACCAACCACTTCTGATTAGATTTCTTCACGTCAGCTCCAGAGGAGGAATTCATGGCTGCTACTGTAAGTTTGATCAGTAGTCAATGGTTGGGAAATCATAGGCCTTAGGGGAACCTACTATTTTTATTTTTTAACTAAAAGAATGTGTCAAACTGCCTTCTAAACATTCATGCTTGTACCCATAGATTACTTCTATTTTCAGCCTTAGTCAGAGAAGTTTCTGCTTTTATTGGGTCATGGTTATCAGATTTTGGTTACCAGGCCATGGTTACCATGTTTAACCAGATTCCTAACTGGGAAACGCATGGAGAATAAGTGATCTTTCAGCGCTCAGTTCTAAAAGGAACCTCTACCATGACTACTCAAATGCATGTATGGACTCCACTTCTTTTCAGTGTGTGTGTTTGTATAAAATAAAAATGAAGGGAGCACTTTACAAAATTTATTAAGATTTTAAAAATGTGACAGGAAAGCATTAAAGCGTTGAACCCTCCGATTGCAAACAGACATCAAATATATTGCTATTGAGGTCAAGGAGATCTTCTCCAGTGACCCATGGTTCCTAGGTTTTGCCAGCTCCAACTTTCTCTAGTTCTCTCCAAATAATTTTTCACATGTCATTTTTTTCTTGACTTCATCTATTCCAATTTATTTTTACTTGTGAACACTATAAATTTTGTGCCTGAAATGTCTTCACTGCTTAGCACTG